TAGGCATAGGCGATTCCTCCTACTTGCCCAGCACTGGACCACACGGCGCATGGCAGGGTTTGATCCGGCTACTGTGGATGGACGAAATCCTGCACCACTTTCAAACGATGGGAAACCATTGTCTGCTGGTATTTGCAGGTGAATCTTATCATACCATCGTTTGCTGGGTATTGCCAAGAAAGTCACCGCGATTGAAGGGCAAACCAAAAAAAACACACAAAAAACACGGGCTGTTGGACAGCTGGGCACAATGACGCATTCAGCTCCAACCTCAAAGCATCACAAATGAACACCTTGGGCCCTTCCAAGCACGGGGTCGCCTAAGGGGCCTCCCCTTGCCCCTTTTGACAAGGGCAAGGTCATGTCCAACCTCACCCCCCCCCCCGAACCGTCGCCAAATGGCCCCTGTCCAACCCCACCCCGCGAGCCGTCGCCAACCCCATCCCACCGCACCCCACCCCACCCCAGCCCACCCCACCCCCCTGGCCTTGCCTGCCCTCCTTGTGCTCCTTGGCCCGCCGCGGCGCAGGCCCGCCCATGGCCGCGGACCTTTCAGTCGGCACATTGAAGGCAGCAACAGCACCAAGGCCAAGGCCAGCAGCGCCCACCAAAAACACCCAGCTGCGATCTATTCCCTGGGGACATCAAGTTCCAACACCTTGAGAAAGTCTCAGACACATTTCCTCTGCCGCAGCTAACAAAATGAGCAATGCCCCAGCCCCGAGGCAGTCGACCGCTGCCTTGCCCCGACCTTGCCTGGCATTAGAATCCTAGTGAGGCCCCCGGAGGCCTCGACACGGCGGCTCTCTCAAGCGGCCAGGTGGCACGCCGAAGCTCTTCAGCGACATACCCGAGAAGCGCTCCTCAGCTTGGCGTGAGCCCCCGTCCCAAAAGATCGGGGGCTTCATGTGGGTGGCTCCCTGACGCGGGCTTCAAACACTCACTTCCTCAATGTGGATTGGCCGGAAACTGCGCACTACTCAAATGGTCTTTCCGACAAGTATCAAGTCCAGGAACCTCAGAGAGTGAGAAATGAAGTCAGGCCAGTCCAAAAAAAACAAGGCCGGGCCCCACGCGAGAGGATCCCGTTGCCTTCCCCAATGCCCGTCACAACTCGGTTCTGAGCGCCCCGATTTCTCTATTCGTCACCCATGGTCGCCCGTGCTTTGCGGTGACGGCTGGTCTCAAAGGCATGCAGGTCATGCCTACATGAACAGCGGCAGGCAGCTTACTCGGAAAGGCAGCAACAGGGGGTTCAACTCTTCGGGTAAACCGAGCTCTTTGAGCCATCAAGCCCTTGTAAGACTTCAAAGAATTGAGACTCAAAAGCAAGGACTTCAAAAAAAACACCTAAGTGGCCACCAGACCAGTCTCCAGGGAATGCTGGCAACCTTGCCACTATGGGCTTTCTGGAGGGAAAATGATTCCTTCCCTAGTGACTCTGCATGGTTCACTCGAAAAGGTGGGTGAATCTTGCCAGCTTGCATGTCGTGCGTGCGGCAAAGAAAAAAATGCGCCTTCAATGATTGATGCTCCGCCTGAGCTTGGCTTTAACGCATCGTGATCCGATGTGAGCTTTGCCTCATTGCAACTCTTCCTGCGCTTAGGCTGAGCACAATAAAGTCAGCAAGCAAGCAAAAGCTGCAAACATTAACATAGAACCCGAAAGGGGGTCCCCCCAAGAGCAGCTTCCTCTAAATATCCTGGCTTCTGAGTACCATGTTAACCTGCAAGAGGGTATCAGTCACCGAGGCTATACTTGAAAAAGCATCCACTAGGATTCCAAAGGGACTGGCTTGTTTCCCTTGTGAGAGGGCAAGCAGGCAAACCAACCTAAGGCGTACAATGGGCTGCCCTCAGATCTCCTGCTAAAAGTTTAACTTTTAGCCTACAATCCTAAGAACCTAAGGGGATGGGAGCCAGCAAGAATCCTCATGGCCCCCCACTCCTCACCCACCATCCAGGGCACCGGAACCTGGACGGCCTCCCGTGCCCGGCCGGTGGCGAATTCCGCGCTCTGGCGCCGCGCCGCCGCGTGCAGCACATTGCCCGCGGACTCCTGGCGAAAATGTCCCGCAGGCCGCGGCCCCACGGGCTGGCGGAAGGGGCACATGATCTCTGCTTTTTGTTTGATTTACTCTGGTGCCGGCGTGGTGAAGGCAGGCAGGGAACCAGCACATGGCCCACATGAAAAGCGGCAAATTCGGGCAAGCACCATCTCGCAACAACCGCGGAGACAACATCTGAGTCGTACTCAGACTTGGTAGAAAACCATGTCCATGTAAAGAATTGAAAGGCCGGCTGCACCCATGGCTGGGATTGTCCCTGAACCTTCTGCCCGGGTTTTGAGCACGTGGACGCAGGCCAACCACGCAAGCGGGTTGAAAGTGTCCCCCTGGAAGCCGCCGGCCCACAGAAAGCCCATGCTATGCCATCCGGCCCGTTGCTCCATCGCATGATCGACCCGTGTATCAACGTTCCTTTCGGGAATCCATCCAAAACCGGCCCTTTCCATTCCCACAGTCCCCAGCAAAAAGCAGGGAAAGGTAGGATATAGACGGAACAGATTGGTTTCCTATAGTTCCTAAAAAAGGGTATAGACGGAGCATAGGTTTCCTGTAGGCTATAGGGATCTGCTGTTCATTTCCCACATTTCCAAACACCCCCTACCTATAAAGCACCAAGAAAAGCAAAAAAAGCTCTGTCCTCGGGGCCCACAGAGGCGAGGCTCGCCTGGGCCTTCTCCACCTGAGATGACGGCGATCGACGACTGCCGGCGACTGCGAGGACTGCCCGTGGGTGGCCCCGTTTTCCAATCCCCGGCTAAAAGTGACGAACTTTTTGGTGGTGAAATTCGGAAACTGCTGAAAACACATAAGAAGCTGTGATTGATTCTGCAAAACCCTGACTGGGGGCGGGGGGAATGATGAGCACGATCATCTGGACCAACCTGAAGCTAGCAGAAGGAAAGTCGAAGGACTTTTTGGTTGGTCTGGCCCCAGCTCGTTCATCCAGAGCCTGTGTGGCCAACCTTTGGGAATGTAGCGGGGCCGGCCTGGTGCTTCCTTGGGCAATCCCACTTGAGCAGGTGGGAAGCGAGCTACCAACGCACGGAGCTCAACAGAGAAAACCGCGTTGGAGGAAACCATGAGGGTACATAGCACCAAAGTCTCACTAGGGCGGTGCAAGCAGTAGCTCAAGAGAAGTTCGGCTTTGGGGGGTGTCGATTTTAGCAAGCCCCCCAGGGAAAAAGCATCCTGCGGAAAGAGGCCTCTGAAGCCTTCCTGTGGCCTATGGCCACCAGTACAACTTCCACCGCATGCGAGTCCAAGGGTGGAATTGCCAAACAATCAAGCTCCGGCTGGCATGGCCCCATGGGAAGAAATCCCAACAAATCCTTTGCGACGAACTTTGCAAGGCACTCCGGAAAGAGTGTGACTATGTGCCACTGACACAGGCCGGCCCTGCAAGAGTACCAAAGGTTGGTAGCTGCTTAATTCCAGCCCCTCAGTGAGCTTGGTCCAAAAAATGCCAAGGACCCCCAACCACTTCAACCCAATCGCCGTGAAGAAGGCCCCATAACTTGTCATAGTCTTGCTCCTACTGAGCTCCCTCGCATCCCCTGCTAGAAGCTCAACTGTCTCAAATTCGGACACTGCCACTAAAACAACTAAGAACAATGAAAAACCTAAGTTGATCCGGATGGCCTTCGGGAGCCGCAGGCCAAGTAACGACCCTCCGGCATAGGTGTCCTTTTTGGGAACGTAGATGGCCCCAGTAGATGGTTAAACCGCCAGGCAGGTCAACCAGGAATCGCCCAACCTATTTTTTCAAGCAAACCAACCCAAAAAGGACACCTATGCCCCCCGGCCCCTCTTTTTGCCCTCCTTTTTCCGTCGGCCCTGTTTCCCCGCGCCAAAAAACAAAACCACAACCAAAAATAAAGGAGAAACACGAGAAGAAAAAAAACGCGCGCCGGAGACTTCCAGCGCTACCCAAGGCCCGCGCCGCGCGGTTCTGCGTGGGCCGCTGCGGCTTGAAGGCCTTGGGCTTCTTCGCCGAGCGGCCGCCCGCGGTCCTCGGGGGACAATTCGACGCGAGTGGGTCTCAACGTGTGGCTTGCCCCGAGCCATGCGCCAAAAGAAGACTGGAACAAGGTGAACCACACATTGTGTATGATTGGTGTTAGAGTAATTATGAGTGTTTTTTAGTAAATTATTAGTACTATGAGTGTTATTGGTAATCTTCTTATAATGATTACTGTTCTTATTGTTACTATTAGTATTATTATTGTTACAACTTTCTTACTTTTATGTTTATTCATCATTTTAAACAACATGCATGTTGCTAAAGAAAACCATGAAGGTGAAACAAGGACTACGTCCTCGGAAGATTGAGGCTTGAGAGGGCAAGAAAGAATCCAATACCGTGCGCATATGTACAGAGGTACACGTGTCGTTTTGGCCCACTTTCTGGCAGAGCCCCACAGAGACGCCTTCGCGGAAGTCAGCCGAACAAGCGAGGAAAAAAAAAAAAAACCTGGCACCCCTGGCTCGCAAAGAGCACCACTCCAAGCCCCAGAACTAGCAAAGGCCCACCTTATGTTCCAAAGTCTCAAAGACTTGACTTAGAATAGGGGACCCTTTAGAACCAACACTCTGCCAACACTGAACCCAGAAAAGGGCCAAGACACAAAAACAAAACAACACAAAAAAGGCCAAACTGGAACTCGGGCCTCCCAATACTAAACTTTGTCCCCCCCCCACGGAATCTTAATAATAGGAGGGTCCCTTAGAATTGTCAGCGGCTCTGGCTCTGTCAACTTGCAGGTGATTCGCTTCAGCGCAGAGAAAATCCGGATTGCTTGAATAGCTTGAAGGATGCAACAACCTATTGATAAGCGTGTCCACCGCACGTCCAAAACGCGAACCCACCCAGACTCCCGCTCCAAGCGTCTCCGCCGAGTAGGGCCGGTAGGACACGTAAGGCCCTTCGTCCATGGCTCCGGAGCGCGAATCTCGCGCTTCGCGGCGCGCGCGAAGCGCGCGAAGCGACCTTTGAGCCTCTCCGCAGTGGAAACCCAGGCGAGCCGGCTGAGTGACTGGTAGGCCGGCGTCCCGAACTAACGTCCATCCATGCTTGTTCTAGTTGCCCAACTGCCCAACCCCAAATCGAGACGTTGAATGCTCTCCGGTTAAGCATTCGAAGTGGCATTCTGTGGAGTTGGAGTCCAAGGAGTCTAGCAATACTACCTTGTTGAACTTTGTAGTGCGGTCAGCTTCCTGATGCTTCCTGGTCCTGGACGTCTGGCAGCACTACTTTTGAATTTGTGTTGTGTTGCGGTCGAATTCGAGGAAGTTCGGCAACGCTGCTTTGAAGGGGGCCATGCTACTTTGGAATTGCTTTTGCTGGATCCATGTCCATGAAGTGACGCAGCAGCGCTTGTTTGACAATACTACTTTCAAAGGGGCGGGACGCTGGCAATGGAACTAGAGCTTGGAATTCGAAGGGGTTAACAATATTTAGAGGCAACACACCCTTCGCTTTATTTAGGGTGTGGCTTGTCTTGAACAAATGACTTTGTGGGGGCTACACATTTGGCTGATTGTTGTAGAATGCTTTTTGAGAGGTTCAGGAAAAGAAATCGTCACAAGAATGGACACCGATTTTCGATAGTGACCCTGAGCGGTTGCAAGGGCTGGACTGGGTGAAGCAAATAAGGCTGGGGATGCTCAGAAAACTGCTTAGGGGTAAAAGGTTTAGCTTTGCTTACGGGTAGCATTATTTCATTTTGAAGATTTGTTCAGCTTGATTCAGGTGAAACTTTTGCTAATCGCATTTGGGCATGAACAACAAACAGATCCATTCAACAAGCGACTGAGCAACACGCTAAGAGCAGCCAAGCTTTGCGGCTGAGCAACAGTGGACTCCCCAGATGTTGCTCGAGTAGCCAAAACACAAAAACCTCGACGGTAAGGGGTTCCACCTCGTGGACTGCAAAGTCCATGAACTCAGGGAGTGAGACTCCAAGTTCCTTGTCACTTTTGTTCGCATCCCAAAACAACGCACCCATGCGAGCTCGGCCTAGCTCGGCCATAGGTGGCCTTTTGGTTAAAAATAGATGGGTTTCCCTGGTCAATGGGGCGCAAACCCCATCTAAACCAGTGGAACCCATCTGTTTCTATGCAAACCGACCTATGGGCTCGGCATGAAATTCTCAGCCTGGGAAGGATCTCGCGGTCCTTGAGGTTCTGCGGCCCGTTCTGCAACAGCCGGCCCACCTGCGACTTGCGACCGACTCAGTCGGCTCGAGGTGTCAAAACTTGCCCATGGGTTTCCCTGGGTTTCCCTCGGGGTTTCCATGGGTTTCCATGAGTTTCCATGGCTTCCTTTTTTTGTTAAACGCGGAAACCCAACAGGGTGGTACAAATGAGACTAATATAGAAGAAACCTGGCCTTGCGAACTCCTCTCCATGATCTGCTTCAAGCTGCATAGAAACTAGTTCTTTGACAGGAAAAACAATGCCCAGTTCACCAAACTGGGCTGTCCGTTTTCAGATCCCCTGCGAAAAGTGAGTCCAACTTTTCGGGGGTTAAATTCGGAAACCTCCACTCAACCCTGAAAGTCCAAAAAAGCCAAGGGGATGGCCAGGAACCAGCAAATTCTCCGAGCAAGTGTGGCAATGCCGAGGGGAAGCAGCAGTCCCTACGACATTTGTTTGGAGGTGAGCCAACCATGAAACCCCGTCTGGCATGATCCTAGGAGCCAGCAATGCAGGCATCCCCATGCAAAGCCCGGCACCCCAGCAAAGGATTCAGGAAGCTGCACACGTCGGTCATCGCATTGCAGCTGGCTGACGGATTCACGGGCATGTGCGAACTATGAGAAGTAAACTGGCACGTGCCGGGGATGTCAAATCCAAGAATAAGCTTCCCTCCACGATGCGTCTTGTCACTTTGTCACTGCATCTGCCTTCAGTTGGAGTGGATACATGGAAAACTTCTCCAGTCAAGGACTTTGTTGGAAGGCCGGCCCCCCACCCAGAAGCCAGCTGGAAATTGCAAATCTGTCATCCGTGGTCGTCAAAACGCAACCAAAACATCTGTCCTGCGATGGCTGAAGGGCGGGGGGTCTTACAACAATCTCCTTACCTGGGCTGACCTCAGACTCCCTGCAATAAGTCTAACTTTGAGTGGCTTAAATTCGGAAACCCGGCCACTAAACCAACTAAACACCCGAAAACCTAAATTGAACCGGATGGCCTTCGGGAACCACCAAGCTTGCGGCAAACGGCAAGTCACCTCACCTCCCTCACCCTCGGTCCGCTTTGGCTTTGGGGGCCCGGCCAGCGGGGACTTGGACGCCAGCAGGGACAAGCGCCGCCGCAGGGACTCGGGGGCCTGGCGCGGTCCACTCGGACGGCTGGCGTCCCTGACGCCACACGAGTCGTGCGGCCCGCATCCACAAACTGACCCAATACAGCGGCACAAGTAAGTGCAGAAAAAGAAAAAGACAAGCGGTGAAAATGAGAACCACGCATGGGTACAGTAATCTCGCGCAAAATTGGACGATGCCCCGCTGCGACCCTGTCAGATTGTAAGAAACCCCTCACAAAAGTGATCTTGAAGAACCTCACTCATTTTTTTTGAGCTTCGGTGATTGGGAGGAGCGTGCTCATTGTCAGCCGCATCCTTGCCACACATTCATCCGGAGACAGCAGTTCCCCGGAGCGGCTTCCCACACGAAGCTTTCTTTGGGAAGCTCGAGGTTTGCTGTGCTCCACGGAATTAGCCCATCCCGTTGTCGTCACAGCAAAACCCATGTCTGACCCCCAAAAACACCCGGCATGGGACCACCAATGTTTTACCATGCAACTACCATAGGCATAGGCCGAACGAGGCATGGGCCGCCAGAGCGCCGCGACTCGCGAGCATGTGCCGGTGTAACTTCCCCGGCCGCTGCGCGCGATATAAGACAGGCTCACCCTGCCACGCCGGTGATCTGAGAACCGGCAGCGCCACAGACGCTGAGGTGCAAAAACAAAAGTTTCGGCGGAGGAACATTTCCCCAGGCATCTGTTGGCCGGACATGTCGCGCAGTCTCAGCCCATGTCAGGCTCCACATCAGTGGGCAGGAGGTTGTTCAGAAAAACCCCTTGCCTCCCTTATGTACCACTAAAGTGGTCTTCCCAAAAAGCTTTACAATCCAGAAACTCAGGGAGGGAGTTGCACTTTCCCATTGGCAAGTTCTGAAAGCCTTGCCCGCCCCCATCTGCCTCGCCCAAGTCGCCAGCCAGCTGCGAAAGGATCTCCTGCCGGCTCTACGGAGTGCGTCCTATGGATGCCAGGATTCAGAAAATCTGGGAAGTCAGATGTCGCAATGGGCTCTCTGGTTACCATGGAATCCCAAAAGCGCCCAAAATGTCGAAGGAGATCCCTCCAAATTGGTGCTTTGACACTTCCTGAGTTCCTTGGCCAATGGGGTCCCAAATGGATCCTCACAACTTCTGCCAAAGCTGACCATGTTTTCGGAGTTGAGCCTTGTCGCAGACAACGCAGCTGCGTCTCTATCACATGACATGGGCATCCACTTTAACCACACGCCACCACGAACAAGTGGCTACGGCCGACCAAGCGGCAAGCCCATGCATGTCCTCCCGCCTGCGTCTCTCTAATGTGCACGAGCTCTTTGCATCTCACCCGCTCAGACAGGGCGCAGAGCAGAAAGAAGCTCATGGATATCCTCAGGAACGCAAATGATACAAAATGAAGTGGAGGCTCAATCTTAGATGATAGAGTCGAGTCACAGTGTTGGCGCCATGTATTGCCTGCATGGAGAAGCCACAAGGAACAAGGATTCCACATCAGCCTACCTTAATCCTCGGGCTCCAGGCATTCCGACATGATGATACTTCCACTACTACGCACCTTCGAGCTACTTCTGCATTCTGTTCTTGGGCACGCCTGACAAATAGACATGCAAAACGACGAGTAACCACACTGCAAGATTCGCACATGAAACCTCATCCTCTGTGCTGCAAAATGCAATCCAATCTTTCCGACAAAGTGACATGCGCCCGCTGCCTAACAGTCCAGTGTGACATGCTGCACTAATTTCAGATTACTAGTCATACTGCCCGTAGATATCCGGAAATGTGTGGGGTCTACCTCCTATGCAAACTGGTGTCATGCAATGAAATTGGCAATAGCTGACCTTGTCCTGCAAGATGAGTAGATCTCGTGTGGTCAACCCAAAGCACATTCTGCTCATAGAAACAACAAAAGCGACATCTCCAGTACATGCATACTAGTTTGTTTGATGAACAAACGGAGGCTTCACAGAAAAACACGGGCCTTCACAGCATCCGACACCCTTGCAAAGGGTCAAAAGAAAACCGCGGCTGACGAAGCAGCAAAGGATGGCCAAGAACTGGTTTTGGGCCAGGCGCTCCGGAACCAGAGTGCCTCGCCCTGCCCCCAAGCTCTCACGCCCGAAACCTCGATGGCGCCAGGTGGCAAGAGTGCCCAAGAGATAATGAGGAAAGCACCTCAGGCGATAGAGCACCTACATCATGGGCGAGTTCACTATACCTCGTGCAAATAGATAGAGGTGCATGTTAAACGTCAGAAACGGTACGTTGGGTTCGGGTGTGACGCGAGTCACCGTGACCAACGTTTCGAGTTCGAATTATGACCCCGTCGCGCTCAAAAGCGTACTCTTTGATTCTCAAAGGCCCACAGAGTGGCTGGCGCATCTTATTGCACTTCACCGCAGGTGGTGGTCGCTTTACTTGCCTTGCGCCTACTGGGTCGCAATGCCCCAGCAGCCAATTGGCAGTGTGTAGTGGGGCGGAAATGTGGGCGCTTGGTTGCACATCCTTGCAAAGCTGCCACCCCTCCCTCATGCAAGGTGACAAGGCTAGGGTGAAACATGGAAATCATGCCCTCCCCACGTGATTCGGGACTGCAAGCCAGCGCCTGGCTTCGCAGGATAACAAAC